AAAAAAAAAAAATTTGAAAGAAAAAATATCATAGTTAACTTGAGAGATTTCTAAATGCCACACTTGATGACATGTCTATCATTTTGCACCTGTGGCAGTGGAGCTAACACAAACTGCTGACTGGTCAGGTACTTGTACAGCTGTACAATTACATCCGTCCACTTCACTGGGCATTACAATTAACCTCAAATTTCTTGTTACAATTTACATGTGCATCCCTTTATATTTCGTGGTGTACCACCAGCAACCAGAGGAACGTCGGGAGTGTTTATAATATAGATGAGTGTGAACTGTAAAGTATCTGATTATGATAGTAAATTCTTTCAAATCAATGGTTGGGCAAAGTGTAATGGGAATAAATTCTTGAAGGCAATTTTCATAATTCTCACTTTCTGTGAACACCACAAACTTTGAGGGGTAAAATTTAATTCCTCCATAAATTAGTCCAGAATAAGAAAAGAAAATAGAGTCTCTCTCTCACTCTCTCTCTTTCTCTCTCTATATCGGATTGTTTGCAGAAACTCCCAATTGGATGGATCCACCACATAGTTACATATCATGTTTGCAAATTGTTGATTTGTAACATTTAATATATTCATGGTGATGAACTCCTCATATAAAAAACTAAACTCATTCTATTTATGGAGCAGGTGTTCACAATACCTGTTGCCCCGGGAGACATCATAATAGCTGGGACCGATGGGCTTTTTGACAATTTGTACAACAACGACATCACGGCTGTTGTGGTTCAAGCCTCAAGAGCCGGTTTGGGCCCACAAGTGACGGCCCAGAAGATAGCTGCACTAGCAAGACAACGTGCGCAGGACAAGAACAGGCAGACTCCTTTCTCCACGGCAGCCCAGGAAGCTGGTTTCCGTTATTATGGTGGCAAACTTGATGACATAACTGTTGTCGTTTCTTACATTGCAGCCGATTACAACGTATAGATCTCTCTCTCTCTCTCTCTCATGCACACACACATTTGTACATATCATATCTTTATTTATGCTTGGTTGTGCATCTAGATATACGTACATATGTAAAGTACTTTAATAGGACACAGAAGTTGATGTTTGAAAATACTCACTGTTCTATACATAAATATGAGTGTGTGTGTGTGTGTGTGTGTGTGTGTTTGTATCTATTTTCAAGTAAAAGATGACGGACATCTTCTTAATGTTGGCAATAGTTTTTGCTGTCCCTAAGAAACTGTATGCATTTTTCTCGTGCAGGAAAGCCTTTCGACCAACAGCTCTAGTTGAGGAAACATTTTGGTTTTCTGCCGTCTATGTAAAGGTTCGACTGCATAAAATCTTTACGACGGTGTTGTTTCTTACGGTTGATTCGAAACTCAAAGAATGTTATGTACATATATTTAAATGTTGGTGTTAGTGTCTTTTTACATCAGATTTACCATTTCGAACGGTTGAATGTATAATAGAGAACAAAAAAGTGAGAACCAATGTGGTTATCACAGTTTTGTTGCATGATACTTTGGAATTGTGGTCACAGGTTGTCTTTTATCCTGACATTGCTTGTA